CAATTCATATCATAATCCTTACCGTTTTTTAGATGATTTTTACTAAAAAATTATAGTAATCTAAAAATTAAAAAAGATTATTATGAGGGTAGGGTAAAGCCTTTTTACCGTCCTGTACTGTACAGGAATTACTGCCCTGTACCGTACAGGACGGTACAGGAATTACTGTCTTGTACTGTACAGGACGGTACAGGAATTACTGCCCTGTACCGTACAGGACGGTACAGGAATTACTGTCTTGTACTGTACAGGACGGTACAGGAATTACTGTCCTGTACTGTACAGGACGGTACAGGAATTACTGTCCTGTACTGTACAGGACGGTACAGGAATTACTGTCCTGTACTGTACAGGACGGTACAGGAATAACTGTCCTGTACCATACAGGACGGTACAGGAATTACTGCCCTGTACCGTACAGGACGGTACAGGACGGTAAAAAGTTCGTGTTGAACCAAATCTAAAATAGCCTTCATAACTTTTTCTTATAATACAGGGTGTCCCAAAAAAACATGGGAATTCATTGACGAATTCGATATCATCTTTGTTATGAATTTCAAATGCCATAATATTATTATGTCTTCTAGAGTTAATTTTATGAAAAGGGTAAAAGACTGTAAAGATGTGTCTATAATGTCTCCGCAAGATGAACAGTGAAGACGGGCAAGTTTACTCTGTTTGTATACTGCAATTTTCTTGCTTTACTAAGTTTTACTTTTAAAGATCACAGCTTTCTCAGTAGGTATCACTATACTAAATCAAAGAATTATTTGATAAGACGATATCGAATTCGTTAGGTATCACTATACTAAATCAAAGAATTATTTGATAAGACGATATCGAATTCGTCACTGAATTCCCATATTTATTGGGACACCCTGTATTTTGGAAAGTTTTCTATGCTGCATTTAGCGTTGTGATGGAGAAGGTACTCATGAGGTGTTCACAAATTTTTATGAAATAAAAAAAATATTTCGTGTTTTCAGAAAGAAAAAATTAATTATGATGAAAATTGACAAAGGTCGGAAATTTTGTGTGAAGTAAATATAGTTAATCTTTTAAACATGATCTCCAATCTCCATATCCACTGAATACGCTTTTAAATTTGAGGATAAGTGCTTCACTGTCATTCAAAATTGTAAAGTTCTAAAATGTGTAAGGCTAAAAAAAATGGAGTTATCGAGATAAAATTAAACGAACATGGCGTTACGGCAACCGGTGTGGATCTTTATAATGTGTTTTGGTTTCAGTCATGAAAATTGATTTAACTTTTTTTTTGCCGTCTGGATTAACAATTTGGAAGTTCTTATTTAAAACTTCATACTTGCAGGAATATTCTTTAGCGTAAAAAAATCAATGTTTTTAAAAATGAAAAAAATATATAAAATTTCTTGTCTTACAACCATAGTTGAAACTAATCCCAAACAAGGAATGGGGTGCAGAGCTGCACCATGAGCACCGCGAAATTTTTCTCCAGAGCCTCCTGGATCGCCTCCAAACCCCGGAAACCCGTCTCCAAGCCTCTTCCATNAACCAATAATCAAAATATGTCTATTCATTAGAATCCACAATAATTTAAAGAATTGTTAAATCCACAAATTTCCAACATTAATTAATTTAATTGATGATATTTTGTTTTATTGTAAAAGTGTACAGAAAGCATATGATAATAGCACAAATTTAAAAAAAAATATTCTGTTTCATGAATTGGTTCTTATATAGAATTTGATTCGAATACATGATTAGAATTTTCACCTTAAAATCCGTTTCCTCGGAAAATTTTTGGCACGATAATTTTTCTGGTGAAAATTTTTTATTTCCGTCGGAAAAATTTTGGCGGAAAAATTCCGTCAGAAACTTTCCAGTATGAGTAACCATTTCCATGATCCATGATATGTGGCGTATCTAATGCATGTAACTATTCCTATAATGAAATGTTTTTATTCATGTTACAATTTCTTTCACTGGCTTTGAAAATGTTCCATTTTCACCTTTCCTGCCCCCCAATGTTGTACAAGCTGTACAATACAGAAGAAATTGAACATAATGTGTGAATATTCTCTCTCCCCCCCGCTCCTTACTGTACTGCAGGGACCCTTGAGAAGGATAAATTATATACATAGAATCCTGATTGTAAACCGGTATATGTACAGAGTATACTGTACAGCAATAAAACTGATTCAAATACTTCAGTTTGCCCTAAACCTGCGCTGCAACTATTACATCAGAATTAATATTCAGAATTGTCGTATAGACCAGATTTTGTTTAAAGAGGATTATCTTCTCTATACGTAAAAACCTCTATATTTTTGTAACCAGAATTATTTCAGTGCATTCACTGATAGAGAAATACAGCTGTGCAATAAAGTTATACAAATCATTTATTTCAAGATAAGAAGACGGAAATAAATGATAACGACCTTTCCAAGGAGGTTGTGCAGGTTGACATCTCTAATGCTTCTATACTCCGAGCTCTCAGGACGCAGAGAGACGAAGTATGAAGGGGGGAGGAGGGGGAGAGAGGAACGCCCACTCTACCTCTACCAGCGATTCTGAATATTAATTCTGATGTAAGAGTTGCAGCGCAGGTTTAGTGCAAACTGAAGTATTTGAATCAGTTTTATTGTTAAACACTGGTTTAAATGTCTTGCGTTTGATCTCAGTCGTATACAGCTAAAATTTGGAAAAAAGTCGTCTTTATCAAATCTTTTAGTCAGAAATAAACATAAGGGTTTTGTAAATTGTAACTGGTATAACTCTTAAGATATACATTTAACATTAACAAACTTCAATTTAATGAATATAATCCCGATTCACTTTGTCTTAAAGAGGTTTACAAACTCTTAGAGATGGGTTTTACCCCCCATCCCCTGAAACTTTCCCTTTATCTTATAAGAATTTTAGACAGCGTTATACTGCAGTATGTTTATAGTAAACTGTTTGTAAACATACGCTGAACTTCTTTAAAGAGAAATAAACAATCCCAAAAGGAAGATGTTTAATCAGAAATAGTCCGGTTTTGCCTGGTGGAAATACAGTACGATATATATTTGTTATATTGTAATAGTATTACAAAGTGAAAACCACCTTGATGAAATAAGATGCTCAAGGTTTCCAATGTTAGAATTCGATTTAACACTGGTTTAAATGTCTTGCGTTTGATCTCAGTCGTATACAGTTAAAATTTGGAAAAAAGGTCGTCTTTATATAATCTTTTAGTCAGAAATAAACATAAGGGTTTTGTAAATTGTAAATGGTATAACTCTTAAAATATACATTTAACATTAACATTTAAGATATATCCGTGCAGACGTAGTTTCAAGCTACTTCAATTTAATGAATATAATCCCGATTCACTTTGTCTTAAAGAGGTTTACAAACTCTTAGTAATCAGCACTGGTTTCAAGAAGACGACATTCATAGTATTACTTAATCTGATTAAATTTCATTCGGCTTAAAATATTTAAACAAAAATCTAAAAAAATTTTACTGTACAATATGTACAAGTGAACTCTTATGTATATGTTTTTTCATCTTTTATTGTTGAAAATCTACACTTCTACACATCTATAATGTTGGTTGTACACTTAAACTAATGTCGTGAGAACTTTTGGTCTTTTACACTTTTGGTTAATTTGTACTTTTTTTGTCTTATTTCAACTAAATTTAGCTCTGAATTTTTTTTGTCATAATTTTAACAATTTGTGCTACATGAGTAGATAGAAATTAATACTACTTCATGCTTTCAGAAAACATGAACTATACTACACATAGAAGCATGTTTGTATAGTAACCATGAAAAATTGTTAGAATATTGTATAGCTCAAGTGGCAGTTGGTCAGTTAGAATAGTATCTTATGGTATTTATCCTAGCAGCATACATTAAATGTTGCCGATAATATAACAGTGCCGTTTGGGGTTTGCATAAATCTTGCAGAGTGCTGATCAATTATGAATCAATTATCAAATATTCATATCTGTCTTTCTTGAACAGATTATTTCAATTGTTTTTCTAGACAAAAGTGTGTTGAAATACAGGTTGTCCCAAAAAACATGGGAATTCAGTGACGAATTCGATATCGTCTTTGTTTGAATTAGCATTGTAATACCTAATTTCAAAAACTATAATATTATTATGTCTGCTAGAGTTTATTTTATGAAAACGGTAAATGGCTGTAAAGATGTGTCTATAATGTCTCCGCAAGATGAACAATGAAGACGGACAAGTTTACTCTGTTTGTATACTGCAATTTTCTTTACTAAATACAACCGTATGCAGTCAAACATAAACAAACAAAATGTGAACATAGCAGACGAAACTCTTACAGATTACAGCTTTCTCAGTAGGTATCACTATAATAAATCAAAGAATTATTTAAAAAGACGATATCGAATTCGTGACTGAATTCCCATGTTTATTGGGACACCCTGTAGAATACTAGTTTTAAATGTCGTATTCAAGCATCCCATAATTTTACATCGACTAAATTATTGATTAAACTTAAGAAATATTGATTAAACATCAAAATTATTTTCATTGCTTTCCATCAGAACTTAATAAATACTAACATTCGAAGCACGAATATTAACTAAAATTATTGCAGTCGTATATACTCGGGTCATTTATATACATATTCAAAATATTGCCACGAACTAAGACGACATTTAAGATTTCGCTTTTATAATGAATAGACCAGACTACTCTTATTTTAAAATCTACAAAAAGGGAAATAAAATTCATTTTAATGATGAAAAGTATTTATAATCAAAATTTAAATAGTTCAAATAATGTTGTTGAAATTACATGACAATTCTAAAATCTAATTAAGCTCACGCGTATATTTTTTTCGTAAACACAGTTATATTTACAAATTATCATCATTTTATATTGTTGCATAATTCTATGAGTAATAATTTTCAAGATCTGTGTAAAATATTTAAATTGATTTTGAACTTTTTTAAAATCAGCTTTTTCATGATTTTGACGGTTTTAGGCATAAAATGGAGCATTCAGTAGAATACACGGATTCTGGGCCGATCATCAGGTTTTGAATTAGAAAATATCTATAAAAGGGACTGTTAACTCAATTTATAGTGATCCATAATTTCAAGAGTAAGAGTAACATTACCGATATATACGGTACCCTTAAAACGTTTTTTTTTTCAGCAAAAATACATTATATATTTTTATTTTATTCACATTATGTTAGGGATATCTCACAACATTTTAGTTCCCATTATTTTTTGAACAAAATGTTACTTTCGTTAAGTTTGTTGTTATAGAATAAAACTGTAAATATAAAATCTCATTCTCAATATCTTAATGAAAATTTGAGAATATTTGGAAGCATCAAAGTGTTAAGAAATAATTTCAAATTAAAATGTCTTTCCAGAAAGGAAGGATGGTAAAAATATTCAGACAAACTTTTTTTAAAAAGTTATTTTTTAAAGAGACCAAATAATATTCAGAAAGTGTACTTTTCCTTTTATGTATTTCGTTTTCTCATTTTTTTCAGAACATCTTCCTCATCTTCCTCTCATAAATTTAAATTTTAATATTTGGATTCCGCTTTACTCCGACCCACACAAAATGTCACAAAATGGATTTGTGGCATGCGCGCCCACAAATTAATTCAAAAATTCTTTAGTTTTCTTAGTGTTGTATAACTTGTCTAGAGCAGATTATCGTCAGGTAGATAAACAGTAAATTGCAAAAAAAATCTGCTATTTTCAACTATTGCTCCTGTCACACAGGGAATTTATGCTGCATTTGTATTTAATTAACAAAAGTACAGCATTTATCCTGCAGACAAACGGGTGTGGGTCGGACGCAGGCCATAGGGCAAATGCAGGCCACAAATGTGACGTCATTTGTGGGTCAGATGTAAAACGGGTGTTGGTTGCCTTTCCCCATATAAGTATATGTTGTATTTTTATCATAAATAAAAAATTTTAAATATTAAATTTCTGATATATTTGTCTATATTTTTATGCTATGCAATATGCATATTTTGAATATTTTTGTTTGTTTCTAAATATTTATTGAGAATATTTGAATAGTTCGAAATCTCTCAGAATTCCCAAACTGCATATCACAGTGAGAACCAGAAAACTACAGATTAGGAATACGACATTTTCCATACTAAAGTTTATTGGATGTTGTTACAAAGCAGATTGTGGAATAGAAAGACGACTGTTAATCTCACGTTTTAAGTTGAGACCTAAGATTAGGGTTTCACCGTTGGTTTGAATTTTAGGACCATTGCATCTATAATTCTCTGAACTAATGAAGGTCAGAACCAGATCAACCTTAAAGAATCAAATATGAGACCTTTCTTTGAATTTAAATAGTAAATAAAAAAAATGTAGGAATAAATATCTATAGATTTATAAAACTACAGTATTGAAGTACAATCCAGGACTTCACTAGTGATTAAGAATAATGACCTCCATCCCCTAGAGTGTGGATAAGACGCAAAACAAATTCTATATTTCTAAAAATAATTTAAAAATAACTAGCATGGGAACCCGTCTTTGCCTGGAAACGGAACTCATCTTTCTCAACATTGTTACGAGCATTTTGAAGCTCTACCGAATTCCCAAATCAATAATTGAGGCAAATTGGTCAAGGCTGTGAAAGAACATACAGACAGAGATTACTACTGTATAATTATAGAAGCAAACTTAATCACAGAAATAAAATTGTTATACCCACCAAATCAATGTGTATTTTACAGGTATAACGATGAAGAAGGAAATGATATTACTCCCCAGCCTCTCTACACACCTCAAGAGGACCTCAAAATAAAGAAGAAAAAGAAGGTACAGGGCCGGTTACCTAGACATTAGATTAAGTTTTCGGTCTTTGATCTTTTAATGGGTTTAAAGAAAGTTTAAAGCTGCAGAGAATCTAAACAGACAGTATTAAATTCCAAACAATCTTCTATGAAGTCTCATTCTTTATAGGTAACCCTATATTTGTTGAAAAAAAATAGAGAGATTGCAGACATATTTACATATTTTCGGACACTTGTTTCTATCCAAAGTAAAGTAGACAATCAGACTTTGTCATGAAAAAAAACTCTAGGAAAAAGATTGCAGAAAAATTGTTTGATTTTTAGAAGATCAAAGAAAGAGATTGAGAAAAATTAATCAACTTTTTAACTAGTTTTTATCCTTTTGTTTCGATGGGTAAAAAACGTGTCTGGGTGTTTGTTTTTATCCAATGAACGTCAAAATGGCTGAACCCATCGAGCCTAATTTTTTTGTGGCAACTCATGAGGCAAGGCTTAGAGCTGGTCGAAATCGAACAATTTCACCCTGAAAAAATGTCAATGTTTATAATTTTATAAAATGAATCGATTTTAACAGAAACAATTATTTTTAATGATTATATAGAAAAAATGGAGACCTATGACATCATATTTGAATTTTTAAATTGCCACTGGACGCCTATTGAATTAGAATAAGAAAGAGACCATAGATCAAATACTTATTTTTTTTTCCTTTTTTGGCATGCAAAATATAATACTGAAACTAGAACAAAAATATATCCTTTTTTAACTAAAAATAAGACTATTTTTAATCAAAAAAATAAGAATTTTTGTAAATTAAGATTTTGTTCTATTTTTGAAAGAATAAAGTAACATGTTAATTACTTAACATTGATTTAATCGTGACTTGCGAAAATTCTTAAAAATAAAGCTAAAAAAATATTTGATGAAAATACGAAGAGAAAATATATATAAAACTGGCAACCTGTTTGATTTTTATAATATCATTAAATATAAATAAGTTGCTTAAATGTTGTATTTCTATTCCGTAATTTCAAGTTCCCTCTGAACTCAGGTAGTTGCTGTGAGCACCCCAGGAGAGCCAAGTCCGATAATGGCGACATTTCTCAAGATGGCAACCTCTACTGTTTATAAGATGGCTGGCCTAGGATCCTTCCAGGGTTCACATACATACAAGGTTAGTACGTCATTTATTATTATTTTTACTTGGACCAGATTTAATGGTAGTTAGAAGATGCATCTTGTAGACAAATTTGAACCAGTGATTGCAGCTTTAACGGATTAACAGTGATCATTATTATTAAATGCGTACACTTTTTTAAAGAGTGTTATGGGTGAATTTGAAGAGGAAGAAGAAAAGGATGAAGAAGACGGAGAAATGAATCTTGATGAGGCAACTGAGGACTTAGGTAAAGCTTTTGCGGTCACAGTGAACTAATGTAAATTCCATTTCGCGCGCAAAAAAGTAAATTGTTAGCAATATTCTTTAAATATTGATAAAGGGTAGAGTATAAACTGAAGCAAGTTTTTGATAACTTTAGTGCTGGCAAGTGGAAACTTCTAAAAGAAGATGTCTAATTGACTTTTTAAACCTCTTTTCAGTAAATGATTTTTGTACATTTCGCATAGTTCATATTCGCCTACTATAGCTTGTTGCCTAGATAACATTTTATCTAGATAAAATTTTGCCTTGCTGACATTTTGCATAGAAAAAAGTTTGCCAAAGTACAGTTTACCTTGACACAGTTTGCCTAGACACAGTTTGCCTAGACACAGTTTGCCTAGACACAGTTTGCCTAGACACATTTTGCCTAGACACAGCTGCTTGGACAACATTTCGAGTAGATAACATTTTACCTAATTCGAGAGTAGTTTATCGCGATTGAAGGCCGTTTTCTAGAATATTGCTTAGTAGCAATTCCATTCTCTAGAACTGTATTGTATATTGGTTCCTTTGAAAGGGCTGGAACATTCCATCCTAGTTTTCAATTTAATTCTCTTAATAGTAAAGTACCCAATACTATATCAATCTCCTACACCGAGATATAGACAAGTCTCAAAGTTATATAGTCGCCAAATTTTTAGAAACTTTAAAGTGTTGCAGCGCCTTGGCCTTTGGTTTTACCTCACAAACTTACTTTTACTTTTTTGTAGCCCCATGGGTTCATACACTTATATTTAAATGTGATATATATCGAACCTGGAAGTAATTTTATGTATGATAATCACAAGCTCACCAAAAAATTCGAATGTAGGAAAAATGTTTTCTTGGCAATCTGTATCCAGGCAATTAAAATGTTATCTAAGCAATTTCCAAAATTTTATCTATGTAATTTTCAAAATATTATCTTGGCGAACTTAAACTATGCGAAAGCGTGCAAGGCAAAATGTTTTGGTAGAATTACGGAAAATAGTATTATCAGGTGTGAATATTTTTTAATACACAGAGTACACCGCCTTTATAAAGTACAAATTAAGAGTATTCCTGTGGAAAATATTTTGTGCGAATGGTATCATTTTTTAAAGGAAATTTTATATTACAATTTTTTAGAAATAAAAAGAAATGATTAAGAACTGTGATTATTTAGGAGATATGCAAGACAAAGGATCAGTTTCTCTGACTGAAAGTCCGACCTTCTGGCAAATATCAATTGCTGGGACATGTGTTGCACTACCTAAAACAGAGGTTTTACAATTAACATTATAACATTAAAGAAACTTGTTTTTACAGTAAATCAGTCGACTCGATCTTAATGAGCTCTGGTCTTAAAATGGTGATCTAGGGACAATTGATAAAATGAAATGATAAATATGTTATGTAATAAGTAATGATCAATGTCCTCTATTTGTGCATAATTTTGCATATTTTTCTCTTCTCTTTTGGAAAGCTGTATTTTAAAAAATTTATTTAAACAAATTTAAACTACACCATTTATAAATGTATTTATATTTTTGTGTGGGAATAAATCTTTATAATAATATCACACTCCCATATCTTAACTATAAGGACAAAATGATAGAGGGTAAGGGGGGAGGGGTGAAAAATACGAACGTATCTATCCAGGTACAATCCATCCGCTATCAAACTCAATCATGACCGATTCCCAGGCTTTAAATGCTACATAGGGACACAAGCGTAGCTATCAAAGAAGCTATATATCGATCCCTNACCTAATTCAGGATCAAAAATATATATATTTTTTAAAAGTTTACTTTGAATATTATCCAGTGATATAATGTTTATCTGTATAGGAAGTATCTGAGAAGATTCCAAAGTCCCTAAGTCTAGATCTTACTGAGAGATGGACTCAAACTCTAGATCTTCCAAGGTAAACTTTTAAACTATTTAAACTATAAAATCGCTATTTTTTGAGTAAAATTTGGATGGCGGCCTTTTAAGCGACAAAAAAACGCTTTTTTGGAAAATATCCAAGTTGTACTTCCAAATATGTGATCTTTTTGATGGCTTATTCCAGAGGTCAAATCTTTTGAGTCGTTTATTCCAGGATCAAGGATTTCTTATCTTTTGTCGTCTAAATAATTTAATTAATTCTTTTTGTATTTTTACATCCTTTGGTGGGAACTGAATGACAGTGATTAATAGAATTGAGGGATCAATTAGATTATCACAGTGGTTATCGAGATCAAGTGTTGTACATTATTATACCTATTTTGAACAAAATATTTAGGCTTTCATTATCACTCTCATAAATTTAAAGGTCAATCAGCTGATACCTATAAGACTTGTTAGAAAAAAGATTATTTAGCGGAGCCCAGGTTATTGATTGGTTTTATAAGTTCTATGTAGAAAATATTCGACAAGTTACATTTTTTAAAAAGAGGGGCGCACTTTACCTTTTTAGATTTAGATTTAACCTCGTTAAGTTTAACATTTATAAACTTGGGATAATTTTCATGGATTTATGTGTGTTAATTTCAGTTTATTTACATTTCTAAAGGAACAGTAAATGTGATTTTTAGAGACCATTCCATTTATAGACGGTTGCCATGTCCGATTTATAACAGTACCATAAGAACCTTTGTCTGACCAAGAATATCTATAATATCCTTATCTTTATAAATAAAAATTGTATGCACGGAAACTGGACTATGTTATCATCACAAGCTTTGATGTAATTTTCAGGCTGGGATGTCATTCAGTACATTAGACAAAGGACCCTGGACTTAAAATTTTTCTGCTTTTTTCATAAAGTTAATAGTCGTCAAAGAAGTATAGAAAAACATTTTAAGTCATAAAACTTGCAAATTTAGCCTCTTTCTTTGTATCAAAGAAACTGTCGGAGATACTAAAGATATAAACAACCTTGGTAGTATTTAATAATTAAAATTTTAGACAAATTGTTTTTCAATATCTCAGTCAATTCATAAGGTACAAAAATGGCAGACCACTTTTTGGAAATCCCAACACAAGAAGCATTTTATGCTACTATATAATGTCTTGAGAGAAAATTTTATAATTACGTGATATTAGTGATAGTATCTTATTTTTTCTTACTCCAGGGCCCACTACTTACTAATACTCCAATCTGTTTTGGACCCTGAACTTACCTTCTAACATTTTTTTAAGGAACTAGTTCTTTTTCAAGAATGAACGATAAACAGAAAGAAAATTTGTCAGAGTGAAACCAAAAGTACACCTTGCAAAGATTTAAAAATTTCACTAAAAATCTATATCAGCTGTGAAGTCCATCCAAAAGTATTACATGTACGCTGGTCAAAAACAGTTCAGATAGGTTGATAGAATCATATCTATAAGCGGGCCGTGGTTATCATGCTCTTTAAATGGAGGGTATTTGAGTTACGTCCACAGTCCCTTTAATATTGAACATTTTCAGAAAACGCAAAGAAACTCAGAGTGAACAGATAGTAATGAAGGATTCTAGTGGACAAGCCTCAAATATAGATATTTTCAAAGCTCTTAAATCTGTGGAGTAGATGTACATATATGGTATTAATAAAATGAATTTGTTTTGAAAATGTTACAATAAAAATACAATCAATATTTTTACTGAAAGGGACTGACCGGCAAGAACTAAGAGTTTAGTATAAAAGGATTAAATATTACAATTCATCAAAAACCAAAAAGACGTTTTTATGTTATATAATTACTTCCACAAAGTTTAACATGCATTTGGAACAAAAAATATTTTGAAGAACAATTTGAGAGAAGTTACCAACGACGTCACAAAATTGGACCAGTGATGTTGCATAAATTTTATCTTCTCCTTCTGTCGATCTAGTTTGCAGTTTTTCTTAATAAACTTACAAGTTAGATTTACAACAATATCCTGAACATCTTTCAACAATCAAGGATGGCGACGAAAGGAATAGAGTTTTTGCCACAAACAAAATCTTCTGATTCCAATATCTTTGCAAACCATGGTGCAAACCTTTGATATTTCAAACTTAGATTATTTTATCTATAAGCATTAATAGTTAGAAATATCTAAGGTCTACGACATTGGGCAATCAGTAAAAGTAGAGTTTTTTTCAAATATTTTTAAAGGGAGTGTGATTTTTTTACGGTCTAAGTCGTATGTTGCATCTTTCTGAATTTGTATGGACACTACGTTCTTCGGTATTAGTCGTTTTTAACAATTTTCTCCTTATAGACGCAACAGATAGAAGTAAGATTATTAGCGATCAAAAGCGCTTTTTTATCGCATTAAGCCTATACCCCCTTTCATTTTTCGCGAACACTCCCTTTAAACACTTTAAGCCCTATCCTGGATGCATATATATTAATTGATGCATATATTACTTGATATTGCTATTGTAAATCTATACACTTGTAATGTTTAAGTGTAAACCAATATGAAAATATGCATAATATACAATATGATGTTATATCTTTATTTTAAACTACATCAAACAGGCATTTTTACAACAACAAAAAAACATATATCCTTATGCTTACTTAGTTATTATAGAAGTATTGTAAATCCCGAATAAGAAGTATTGTAAATCCCGAATAAGAAGTATTGTAAATCCCGAATAAGAAGTATTGTTAATGTAAAAGTATTTGACTAAAAATCAATATTTATTTCCGGGTACACAAGATCCAAACCGTGTTCATGTTCCAAATCTCAAAAAAGAGTGTCAGGTTTGTGCACAATAGTTATGATCAATGATTTAGAAACTCTTCATATGTCTGGTTTAAATTCTATTTTAAAGAACCTGAGGCCAGATTTAAAGAATTTTTTTAACATAAGCCAACTTTTGTACAATCCATAATTTAACAATAATGAACTAGATTAAAATGAAATGCTAAATTAATGTAAGAATCTGTCTCTTAATTATACTTTCAATTTTATATATTAATAAAGAATATGAATATTAAAATATTCAAAATGGTTAAAATCATTATTTGATAAAACCGATCAATATAATTTTTACATTTCTATTGATTCGAACAAATTGTTTGTTTGCCTTATTGTATAACCAATTTGTATTATTGATTGTGATTGCATACAAGTATTATTGAATAAAATCTGTGAAAACTAAATAAATCACCATATACATGTACCAGAACACTCTAAGTGTGAAAGTGCTTCGAAAATATTCCAAAATGAATTTCTTATTTATATAAAAGTATGCGAACGCTTTCTTTAAATCAAGGGGAGTCTTTGTCACAAGGGGAGTCTTTGCAACCTGATGGTGCAAACCTTTAAAATTTTAAACCTAGATAATTTGATCTAACAGAATTAATAGTTTGAAATATCTAAGATCTACGACACAGCGCACAATTATAAATCGTAAATTGCTTGATTTTACGTCTAAAGCACCTTTAACTTTTGTTTTATTATACTTTTTCTGATACCGCGGTTTATGTTTTAACATTATTTTCTTTTTTAATTTGATAAAATGACTCTCACAAATTTATTCAATTTGATCAAACTCAAAATGAAACAAAGAAGCAACAAGAAATATAAAGCAATATTTTTCAACATTTTTCCTTCAATATATGTTTTGAAATTTAAATTCTTTAAAAAAATGTTAAAATTTTTTTTACAAATCAAGCATTTTGAATTTCTGTTCTGAAAAATAAAGATTTAAATGAAGAAAAAAATTAACTTTATTGACACAGGAATTTTTCTATTATTGTTCATTTTCTCTTGTCCATATATTCTTTATTTCTTTTTATGAGACTTTGGTGCATAAGATTTCAATAAAAAGTTTTACTGGCTTCCTCAAGAAAATTCATGCTTCCACGCTGAACTAAAGTTATTTTTTGTTGTTCACATCGTTGGCATTTTTTCAATCTTTAAAGTTAGTAAATTATTCCAAATATGTCTTCTTAGCCCTGGATAAAATTGCCCAAACCTTAAAAAACATTTATGAAGTTTAGTTAGGTGTGGATATGCGGTGTATACTTAAACATGTATCATCAGAAAATTCCCTTTTATGTAACTTTTTGTACATTATTGTATGCAATAACTTTTCGTTTACCTTCATACAAAACATGTGGATTCTAGATATTGTTTATACTTCATACAACAACTTACAAAATGGTCTTAAAGTTTATTTGTCAAAATGTTAGTTTCATAGATAAGTCAGTATTGAAAACATTTACAACTCGTTCATTACTATACAGTCGTCGCCGTATTTATCAATACAATGAAGACGACTTTAGATTTAAATCTTAATTCATACGTTTATGTATTACCGCCTCTTTTTGTTTAATTGTAAGCTTGTAATTTGAAAAAAATGCTTGTTAGAAATTAAAACTTAAACTAAAAAATCAAAGACGTTTTCGTTGTATTGATATAAAAGCCGACCACTGTATATTATTATACAATCGAAACTCAGACATTTTGTAAAATATATCGAAATTATTAAAATCTTTCTGAAATTGCGAACAGAATATTGGAAATATAAACAAATTCACTCTAGTATGTCAAGTCCATTAGCGCCTGATCCAATCAGGGTTCAGCCATGTGTTTGGTGTCTATCCTGAACCAACAGAAATTGCATGGCGGTAACGTCTATTTTTCTATCTATCTCATTATCCAATTAGAGATAAATCCTTGTATCGGCGCTATAACAGTAAATGGAAATATTTACTTCTACTCAAACTATGGTGCAAAATGTTCATAATGATTTTAGCAGTTCAGTATTTTTTGTTTTGTTTTCTACTGTAAGTCTCTATAGCATATGTTCACAACTATTTTATGGAGTTGAACTGTCCTTTCTCAGCTAGTTTATTATTGTAAGTAAACTGTAGAAACAGGATAATATTGTACTCTCTCCTATCTCTAATCTACCCCTATAAACCTCCATTGTGTTCTCCAAGGACCAATCTAAAAGAAATTGGGCTCATGTCTGGGATTATTTCCAATCCTTACACTCATCTCAACCAAACTATCTTCTTCATTTACTAAATTCATCGAAAGTGTCCAGAAAATTGTTGAAAACCTTTCGTAAAGGGAGCTTACAAAATTCAGAAAAATTTGGCCTTTTTCAAAAACGACATTTTAAAAGTGTACATGTAAGAAATCTAGATGCTATATACTGCAACGTTAACTCTACCCAAAGTCTAATTAGAATCTAGCTGACTCAAGGCTCTCTATCCTTAGCCAAAACTCAAGGCTACGTATACGTCCGTGTTAAACGAATAATCGTGTTGAATTAATTTATTTTATATACAGGCGAAATGAAACTGACCATACTGGCCAGTAAGTGTCAACATGAAATAGGATAAGATAGATAAACGAATATAGATAAATCAGATATTACTAGCATGGTTACATAATTCATTACATACATTGTGAAAAGTATATAGTGACCCATCAATTATGAGACTTTTTGGACAACCGGAAACTCTAAAAATCCGACGATATCAAAGGGTCAAATTTTTTTTTTGCAATGTTACAAAGATAGAGCAACTGGGAGATTGTGAAAATTGCGCGAAGTTTGTGCAAAATTGCGCAGTTTTCATAGTCTATGCAAACTCTGCTATAGTTAGTTCTGTGATGCAAATAATGGTTTTTGTTGCATGAACTAGACATTTGACATTTAATTTGACATTTTACAACGTTTTTCTTATATTAGGCAAATATGAATATATCCATCCTTGATCACATTTAACGGATATAGTTGCTATCGTTGTGAATCGGACCCGCTACACAACAAATGCAGAGAGGTAACTTAAATTTACGTCTACATTCCCTTTAAGTCTGCTTGGGGCTTAATTGTGTTTAGTGTAGTTTAATGCATTGTCATTAACAATATTATATTTGCAATACAAGAAGCCATAAACATAAGTTTAGGTACAACTTTGCAAAGTAAAAAACACACAAAGAAATTAACTATTTTAAGCAATCATTAAATCTAGCATGAATGTAAGCTTTGTTAAAGAGGAACAAACTGGATCATATTCGAATATAAAAAATGTTAACCCAGCTTTGACCGAATACTAAAATTTGCTGTAAATGTCAACCCTCTCCATTGAGGGAGGGAAGGCAACCTCCCCACACAGCTTCCGAACCTTATTTTATCTATTTACGGCAGTGCGCGTTCCCATAGGGCTTCCGAACCTCCCTCAAACAGTCTTCCGGGAATGATCTTCCATTTATAATTGTCAATTTCTACTTAAAACGGAAATTATTCGATTCGCTCAGCACGGTAGTCCATCTAAAGTAGTGTTGGTATTTGCATAATATTTTGTTTACAATCAAAGATCGGGGATCCTGAGTTGTTATCATAGATAAATAAATATCTATGGTTATTATCGGACAAACATATATATTAACGTAGATTTAAAATGTAGGCAGGTTAACGCTTTCATTTTTTTAACGATCGTTTCGTTATGAAAACGACGACAAAAAACGAACACGAAACGATAGTTTTTCTTAAAAAATTCTTTTTTTTTAAACGGTCGTTTTCAAAACGATCCTTTTAAAAACGATCGCTTTTCAAAATGATCGTTTTTAAAAAGCTTGTGATTTTGATTGTTTATGACGTCCCTTCGGTAACGATCGTTAACGAATAGAGAAGGAGATAGGAAAC